CTTACTAGCTTATTCCCTGTCTCTTCTTTTCCCTATTCAAAAATCAATCAAGGCTAAAATGCATCGGGTGCTGTTCACATTCTAAAAAAAATAACTAACTCAGGATAATCCTTGTGACAAAGAGGCATATTTTGAGATGGCAAATTGTTTCTTTTAACCCGAATGGTGGTGACCTAACTATTACCCTCACTGGTATAAGGATTTAGCAGACTGGGTTTATATTCAGACTTCGTCATTTATCATAACCTCCTATAGTATTCACCTTGTGGAGCCTTATCTCCCTCATCTGTAAAGTGGGGATGATAATAAAACACATGCTATTGAGTTATTTTAGGATCCAAAGAGATATGTGTAAGATACCTACCACATGGTAGGAACTCAGTAAATAATAGTATCTCCCCTACAGTCAGAGGTGAAATGATTGGTGGTGGGTAAGGAGTAAAGATTATAAACTGAGGGTGGTGATGGAGCACTCACTTCAAATTACTGATTTCCTCAACTGATCAAAATCGTCCCTTTTGCCTATCTGCCTTTGGATGACTTTCTCAAAATAAACTAATTCTATCTTCAAATAATGTAAGTCTATTAAGATGATATTCTCCAGTAACTTATTTACTAAAAGAATATTATTACGGTGACAGAAAAAATATTTAAAAATCAGGGTAGTTATTTTCTATTAATAAGGATCGGATTGTCCGTTCATTTAGGGGCTCTTTACAAGTGTGCATTCTATAGAGAGCTGCATAGCCATATAGCACCTCTCTTCCTCCTCGACCCCTTGCCCAAAGGAGTAAGGGTCTAGGTGATCAATAACAATAGCAACTGTTGACCCCCATTATGCTTATCTTAACACAGTAGAGTCTGCTTCTTGGATCCGAAGGAATAGAGCAACGGATAACATATGCAGAACTCATCTTTGTGAAGCACATTTTTAGGAGAGAGAATTTAAATCACAAAAGAATCATTTCAGAGCAAATTACAGTCTTATACATCCTAAATCATATATTTAAGAGGAGAATAACTTAAAGGAATGAAGCAATCAGAATGATTAATGAGGGCATTTGAAATGATCACGTTGTACTATACAGATTACAAAGCACTTTGTCTAAACGTTAATTTATCTTTACAAGAATGATACAAGGTACATACTATGAGTCTCACTTTAAACAGTCAGAAGCTGGGGCTCAGGGAAGCTAAAAGACTTGCTCTAAGACTCACAGCTAGGAAGTATGAGCTAAGGTTTGAGCCCAAGTCTGTGCAACCTCAAATTCTGTCAACTTGGTAGTTCTGGAATATTAGACACAATGGTGAAAATAGGGGAATGGGAAAAATAGGAAGCTGTGTCAGGCATTATCCCTAGGGAACCACTTAAAAGAATAGTGACTTGGAGAGAGGTAGACTTTGGAGATGCCAGTACCAATCCAGTTGTCAAGGATAGCTGAGATGCAGTTGGGTCTAAGGGAAAAGTGGATGCCTGCACCTTGACCTAAGATTCCTCATTTCAGACATGGAGTGGTAGCAGGTTTCTGCTATGAACCTATGGACTAGCTTTTGTGAAAGTAATCTTGAAAATTATTTTCTTAAACTTTGATCACAACCTGCAACCAAGAAGGAAAAAACTGTTAACTTAAAGAAGGAGAGACATTCAAGATTATATTTTACTGTAATCAGTTTCCTGACTGCCACAACTGTTCAATATACACCTTAGTTTATACTGCATTGATTTATAAAGGGCCAATATTCATTGGACATGTTTTTCTTATCTATAGTTTCATTTATATAGCAAGTAGAAATAGATTTTTTTTGAGCCAAGAACAACCTTCCATTAAAGTAATTCAGCAGCATTGAGTGCTTTACCAATGAATATCAAACCTTGGTAAAGATTTAAAATAGAGTAAGAAACATTAAGGGCTCAATTTAAGAGTAACATTTTGAGCTTTTACATACTGATACAGAGGTACTTTTCTTCATAATATTAGAAGGTATTTTTCCATGTAAATACATCTAGCAGAGTGTTCTTTGGTCATTTTTTTCTTTTTGAAAATAAACTGATATGATTTGAAAGATGAAAGTTCTGGGGCACCTCGGTGGCTCAGTCAGTTAAGCGTCCGACTTCAGCTCAGGTCATGATCTCACTGTTTGTGAATCGAACCCCGTGTCAGGCTCTTACTGACAGCTCAGAGCCTGGAGCCTGCTTCAGATTCTCTGTCTCCCTCTCTCTCTGCCCTTCCCTCACTTTTACTCTATCTCTCTTTAAAAAAATGAATAAATGTTAAAGAAATTTGAAAAATGAAAGTTCTGTCTATATTAACTGCTCCTAACTGAAGGCAAGCAGTGTTTTTATGGCTGCAAACCCTCTGTTACACCTCCTACCCTGAGCCTGAATTATTATTTACATGTACAGACTAGTTAGGAATGAAGTATTCTTTAATGCTTTTTTAAGCAATGTAAGTGCTTACTTGTAACTTTTACATTCTGATTATAAGTCAGAAGTTTGCCATCCATACTGATGTAGAGAGAAGCATGAAATATAAATTCATGGAAGAATTTGGAAAACTATTACATTCTTGATATCCAAGCCAGTGGATTTGAAGCAAATCATAATCACTTCACGATGTTTTGTTGTCAAAGTCAGTGTCTTGTACAGCAAAACTCACTGCATCCTTTTATATAGCACTGTCCAATAGAACTTTTTTGATAACAGAAATGTTCGTAAAATGTAATACCATAGCCACTAGTTACATGTGCCTACTGCACACTTGAAATGTGGCTGCTGTGACTGAAGGTATAAATTTTAATTTTTCTTTAATTTTGATTTTAATGTAGCCACATGTGGTGAATGGCTGTCATATGGGATAGTGCAGCAATATATTCATTCACATGCTGTTTATCTCAGGTATAAAGATATTTACTGTTGGGAAGCCTGAGTGGCTCAGTTGGCTGAACATCTCACTCTTGAATTCAGCTCAAGTCATGATCCCAGGGTCATGAGATTGAGCCCTATGTTAGGCTGTGCTGACTGTGGAGCCTGCATGGAATTCTCTCTCTCTCTCTCTCTCTTGCCCTCTGACCCTCTCCCCTGATCGCGTGCTCACACTCTCTCTCTCAAAGTTAAAAAAAAAAGTATTATTCAGAAGCCTGACCTTAAATTGCTTTTAAGGAACAGATGGAAGCCTCAGTTTGTTCTTGAAAGTAATTACTTCAAGCCAAGCAGATCTGGGGTGAGGAATGTACAAATATTTCAATTGAGTTGGCTACTCAGATTGTTTGTTTCTTTATTCACTCGGAAAATATTCATGAAGCACCTAGTAAGTGCTCTGCATTGTGCAGGTGCTGGGAATGCAAGAGGTTTAATGCATATGCACTGCCTTCGAGAAATTGCCAAGTAGAAAAGGTGGACAGAAAGTTACTAACAAACTTTCATACAGAAGACAGTAGAGAATTAGTGAAGAGTCAAAGATGCCTGGAGGTTTTAGTCTTGAGTGACTGGGCAGAGGGTGGCTCTTGTCACCAATAGAGGAGACACTGGAAGAGAAGGAGGAGGATGAGGAAGAGGAAGAGTAGTCTAATTAGACCACTTGAAGTTAAGGTGTCTAATGCTAGACATTTAGACTGCATGTCCTAAAGGCAGTTGGATATTTGGTTCTGTATCTAAGGGAGATAACTTGAGATGCAGATGTCAGAGTTGCTCCTAGTTGAAGCCAAAAGACAAAATGCAGTCTGCAAGGGGATAATATAAATCAAGAGCAGAAAGTGAACAAACTTGAAGAAGTACCAACACTTAAGAAGAAAACATTCAATTAGAGTAAACTGGCTTATAAATTTAGTCAAAAACTGAAAAAATAAAAAATAAAGATGATAATCTTTTAGGAATTTTATTTTTAAATGGTGTCAGGGTAAATTTGTAAGTAACTCTATCTTACTTGATGCTAAAAGTCAAACCATTTAGAAATATATAGTGAGTATTTTATAGCCCCATAATATGACTGAATTTACTCATTAAGTAGTTGTCTTATGCAATTTAAATTAATACTTCCTAAATGTTATCTATTTTGATATCCAAAATATTTTTTCAAACTTTCCTTAGTTTTCTACCATTAAAAGTAAATGATGTAAGTACAATTGATTTTTTGGCTGAGTCCTGTGAAATATGAATGGAAAAATTTTAGCCATAATCAGTATTGACTTTTTGAAACCTTGCAGAAAATTTCAGTTATTTTGTTAATTTCTTGCCTTCTGAATAAATTGAGAGGGTTTCACGGATACCATTTTATCACTGTGTTGTTACTCTAAGGACACGCTTCTTATCATATCTGTTATCAGACTCCAGTTTCTCATTTAGTCGTGTGATGGGGCCTGCAAAAGAAAAACTCTTGAAAACAAAATACATTTCCATAACAGATACTCAGGAAATTTTTAAAGCTGAAAAAGTAATTTGAATATTAAAACCAAGATTTTCATTTATTCATATTCTCTCTTCCCCCTCCCCTTCTCTCTCACTGTCCACTCATTTGGTAAAAAAAAATAAACTAGTACTTAGACTCCAGTGCCAGGAAGTTCCATTCTCACCTTGGGCATCGAAATTCTAATTTTGATAAAAATGAATTGTTAATGAGCCAAAGAATAAAGAACTTCTCTAATTACAGGAAACAAAATTAAATTTGGCCTGAAGGCATTTATTTTTGTAATTTCAATTGGTTTAAAAATTCAGATTCACTCATACACCTTGGTGGGTTTTTTTTTTTTTTTTAGCTTGAATTGCTCACCACTGTTAACCAGAAGCATTGAAACCTGAAGCAAACTTCATTCTAATGATGATTTACTTTATAGATACTGTCCACAGCAACCTTTCCTGTATGAATAACAGCACCTCAAAGATTGATGATGTTATATATTTAAAAATATTCTTTTTTGAACCTTATGTTTAATGTATAATAGAAAATTTAGATTTAAATGGCAAGTGAGATGTGCATATCATTTCTCTTTTCATCTCTTTATAGAAGTGTTCAAGACCACATAAGAAGTTCTAGAGTGGAATCCCAGTTTGCTGAACCTGCTGCTACTACCTCAGATGTACGTACATAAGAGAGCCATAGGGCAAATGGATGAAACCTTATCTCTGTAACATTGATTTTTTTAGTTAATGTATGTTGCCAACATAAAAACGGTTTTTTTTCCTTAAATAGTTTATTGTCAAGTTGGTTTACATATAATACCCAGTGCTCATCCCCACAACTGCCCTCCTCCATGCCCATCACCCCCCTTCCCCTCTCCCCCACCCCCCATTAGTCCTCAGTTTGTTCCCGGAATTCAAGAGCATCTCATGGTTTGCCTCTCTCCCTCTCCCCCACTATTTTACCCCTTCTTCTCCCCCACGGTCCTCCGCTAAGTTCCTCCTAATCCTGCTATACGTGAAAACATATGGTATCTGTCCTTCTCTGCCTGACTTATTTTGCTCAGCATAACATCCTCAAGTTCCATCCATGTTGCTACACATGGCCAGATTTCATTCTTTCTCGTTGCCATGTAGTATTCCATCGTATAGATAAACCACATCTTCCTGATCCATTCATCTGTTGGTGGACACTTAGGCTCTTTCCATGTTTTGGCTATTGTTTTTTTGTTTTGTTTTGTTTTGTTTTGTTTTGGCTATTGTTGAGAGTGCTGCTATGAACATTGGGGTACATGTGCCCCTATGAATCAGCACCCCTAGGAATTTGGGTAATTCCTAGCAGTGCTATTGCGGGGTCATAGAGGAATTCTATTGTTAATTTTTTGAAGGAACCTCCACACTGTTTTCCAAGGGTCTGCACCAGTTTACATTCCCACCAACACTGTAGTAGGGTACCCGTTTCTCCATAACCTTGCCAGCATCTATAGTCTCCTGATTTGTTCGTTTTAGCCACTCTGACCGGCGTGAGGTGATATCTCAGTGTGGTTTTGATTTGTATTTTCCTGATGATGAGTGATGTTGAGCATCATTTCATGTGTCTGTTCGCCATCTGGATGTCCTCTTTGGAGAAGTATCTGTTCTTATCTTCTGTCCATTTCTTCACTGGATTCTTTGTTTTTCAGGTGTGGAGTTTGGTGAGTTCCTTAGAGATTTTGATACTAGCCCTTTATCTGATATGTCATTTGCAACTATCTTTTCCCATTCTGTCAGTTGCGTATTTGTTTTATGGATTGTTTCCTTTGCTGTGCAGAAGGTTTTTATCTTGATGAGGTCCCAATAGTTCATTTTTGCTCTTGATTCTCTTGCCTTTGGGGATGTGTCAAGTAAGAAATTGGTATAGTTGAGGTCAAGGAGGTTGTTTCCTGCTTTCTCCTCTATGGTTTTGATGGTTTCCTGTCTCACGTTCAGGTCCTTTATCCATTTTGAGTTTATTTTTGTGTATGGTTTGAGAAAATGATCTAGTTTTATTCTTCTGCATGTTGCTGTCCAGTTCTCCCAGCACCATCTGTTAAAGAGGCTGTCTTTTTTCCATTGGATACTCTTTCCTACTTTGTCAAAGATTAGTTGGCCATACATTTGTGGGTCCAATTCTGAGTTCTCTATTCTATTCCATTGGTCTATGTGTCTGTTTTTGTGCCAGTACTATATTGTCTTGATGATGACAGCTTTGTAGTAGAGGCTAAAGTCTGGGATGGTGATGGCTCCCGTTTTGGTTTTTATCTTCACTATTACTTTGGCTATTCGGGGTCCTTTGTGGTGCCATACAAATTTTAGGATAGTTTGTTCTAGCTTTGAGAAGAATGCTGGTGCAATTTTGATTGGGATTGCATTGAATATGTAGATTGCTTGGGGTAGTAATGACATTGTAACAATATTTATTCTTCCAGTCCATAAGCATGGAATGTCTTTCCTTTTATTTGTGTCTTCTTCAATTTCCTTCATAAGTTTTCTATAGTTTTCATCATACAGATCTCTTATATCTTTGCCTGGGTTTATTCCTAGGTGTTGTTTTTTTGTGTGTGCAGTTGTGAATGGGATCAGTTTCTTGATTTGTGTTTCTGATGCTTAATTGTTGGTGTATAAAAATGTAACCAATTTTTGTACGTTGACTTTGTACCCTGCAACTTTGCTGAATTCTTGGATCAGTTCTAGTAGGCTTCTGGTGGAGGCTGTTGGGTTTTCTATGTAGAATATCATGTCATCTGTGAAAAGTGAAAGTTTGACTTCTTCTTTGCCAATTCTGATGCCTTTTATTTTCTTTGTTATCTGATTGCTGATGCTAGGATTTCCAGCACTATGTTAAACAACAGTGGTGAGAGTGGACATCCCTGTCATGTTCCTGATCTCAGGGGGAAAGCTCTCAGTTTTTCCCCATCGAGGATGATGTTAGCTGAGGGCATCTCATAGATGCCTTTCATGATGTTTAAGTAAGTTCCTTCTATCCCGGCTTTCTCGAAGGTCTTTATTAAGAAGGCATGCTGTATCTTGTCAAATGCTTTTTCTGCATCTATCGACAGGATCATATGCTTTTTATCTTTTCTTTTGTTAATGATGTATCACATTGATTGATTTGCGAATATTGAACCAGCCCTGTAAACCAGGAATGAATCCCACTTGATCCTGGTGGATAATTCTTCTTATATGCTGTTGCATTTGATTTGCAAGTATCTTGTTGAGTATTTTTGCATTCATATTCATCAAGGATATTGGCCTGTAGTTCTCTTTTTTGCTAGGTCCCTGACTTGGGAATCAAAGTGATGCTGGCTTCAGAAAATGAGTCCGGAAGTTTTACTTGATTTCTAATTTTTGGAATAGCTTGAGAAGAATGAGTATTAATTCTGATTTAAATGTCTGGTAGAATTTTCCAGGGAAGCCATCAGGTCCAGGACAAAGAAATTTGTCCATTTCTTCTAAGTTGTCCAGTTTGTTGGCATATAATTTTTCATAGTATTCCCTGATAATTGCTTGTATTTCTGAGGGGTTGGTTGTAATCAGTTCCTTTTCATTCATGATTTTGTGTATTTGGGTGCTCTCTCTTTTCTTTTTGAGAAGCCTGGCTAGAAGTTTGTCAATTTTGTTTATTTTTTCAAAAAACCAACTCTTGGTTACATTGATTTGTTCAACTGGTTTTTTTAATGGATTCTATATTGTTTATTTCTGCCATGATTTTTATTATTTCTCTTCTCTTACTTGGCTTGGGGTGCTCTTGTTGCTCTCCTTCTAGTTCCTTTAGGTGGGCTGTTAGATTTTGTATTTGCACTTTTTCTAATTTCTTGAAATAGGCCTGGAGTGCAATCAACTTTCCTCTTAGGACTGCCTTTGCCGCATCCCATAGATTTGGATTGTTGTGTTTTCATTTTCATTTGTTTCCATATATTTTTAAATTTTTTTCTCGAATTGCCTGATTGGCCCATTCGTTCTTTAGTAGGGTGTTCTTTAACCTCCATGTTTTTGGAGGTTTTCCAGACTTCTTCCTGTGATTGATTTCGAGGTTCATAGTCTTGTGATCTGAAAGTGTGCATGACATGATCTCAATTGTTTTCTATTTATTAAGGGCTGCTTTATGTCCCAATATGTGATCTATCTTGGAGAATCTGCCATGCGCCCTTGAGAAGAAAGTGAATTCCATGGCCTCAAGATGTCGAGTTCTAAATATATCTGTCAAGTCCATCTGGTCCAAGTGTCATTCAAGTCCATTGTTTCCTTAGTGATTTTCTGTCTAGTTGATCTATCCATTGCTGTAAGTGGAGTATTAAAGTCCCCTGCTATTACGAGATTCTTATCCATAAGATTGTTTCTGTTTGTGATTAATTGTTTTATATATTTGGGTGCTCCTATATTCGGTTTGTAGACATTTATAATTGTTAGCTCTTCCTGATGGATAGACCCTGTAATTATTATGTGATGCCTTTCTTCATCCCTTGTTACTGTCTTTACTTTAAAGTCCAGTTTGTGTGATATAAGTGTAGCTACTCCAGCTTTCTTTTGACTTCCAGTAGCATGATAGATATTTCTTCATCCCCTTACTTTCAATCTGAAGATGTCCTCCAGTCTAAAATGAGTTTCTTGTAGACAGCAAATAGATCGATTTTGCTTTGTTTTTTAAATCCATTCTGCTACCCTATGTCTTTTGCTTGGGGCATTTAGTCCAATTACATTCAGTGTTATCCTTGATAAATATAGGTTTAGAATCATCGTGTCCTTGTTGGATTCATGCTTGCGGTGGTGTCTCTGGTACCTTGCGTTCCTTGTAATATTTCCCTCAGAGAGTCCCCCTCAGGATTTCTTGTAGGGCTGCTTTAGGGGTGATGAATTCTTTCCAGTTTTGTTTATTTGGAAAGACTTTTATCTCTCCTTCTATTCTGAATGACAGGCTTGCTGGATAGAGAATTCTTGGCTGCGTATTATTTTTTCTGTTCATCACATTGAAGATTTCCTACCATTGCTTTCTGGCCTGCCAAGTTTCAGTAGATAGGTCTGTAACTGCTCTGATAGGTTTCCCTTTGTATGTTAGGGCCCTTTTACCCCTAGCTGCTTTCAGAATTCTCTCTTCGTCCTTATATTTTGCCAGTTTCACTATGATATGTCTTGCAGAAGGTTGATTCAAGTTATGTCTGAGGGGGGTTCTCTGTACCTCTTGGATTCCTATGTCTGTTTCCTTCTGCAGACTGGAGTTCTCTGCTATAATTTGTTCAAGGAAGGACTCCTTATGGGCCTTTCCCTCTCTCTTCCTCTTCTGGAATTCCTATGATACGGATATTATTCCATTTGATTGTATCGCTCAGCTCTCAAACTCTCCTTTCATGTTCCTGAATCAGTTTATCTCTTTTTCTCGGCTTCCTCTTTTTCTATAATTGTGTCTTCTAATTCACCTATTACCCTCTCTGCCTCTTCAATCTGTGTATTGGAAGTCTCCATTTTATTATGTATCTCATTTATAGCATTTTTTAAATTCATCACAACTATTTTTAAGCTCCATAGTCTTTGTAGCAATAGTTTCTCTGATGTCTTCCATGCCTTTTTCAAGCCCAGCGATTAATTTTATGACTATTGTTCTAAATTCTTGTTCAGTTATGTTGCTTATATTTGTTTTGAACAATTCTTTAGCTGTCATTTGTTC